ACCCAAACAGCGAACTAAGCACAAAGCTTAATATTAAAATCCCTGACAACTGCAGAAGCCAACAGATAAGATTAGCTCAAGCTGCTCCTCTATATATAGACCAATTTATGGCCATGAACTTCAGGACAAAATATTACGAATCACATTGGAGGGCACCACAATTCCCCATTTCATTGGGAAAAGAAAAGTATTCGTAGATGACCTATTAATGCGCCAGAAAAGGTGTCCAAACTGGTAACAACTTTTGCGAAATCTTTATAGACGATTGCTATGAAAAGGCCTAACTGTGGTTGATTAATTTGGTTGCAGCATAATAATGAACAGGGAAAGTACAGGATATTTACTTAACAAGTCAAAAATGTTTGTTTAAAGAATCCTTTGTAAACCACTGAAAAACTGTATAAAAATATTCGCTATCATATAATATCAGCGGCGTGAAGAGATATGGTGATGCCCAGGGCCAACTCCTTGACTGTATGCCCCAAAGACTCAAGTGCGAGGCCTAGTACTGAAATATATGACAAAGAGAGATATCTGAATATGTAAACTCAGATTAAACATGAAATAAATACTTTATTCGACCTAAATCTTATTTTCTTATCTGATTGGACCCCCCCATCCACCTGGAATCCCCGGGGGCACCGCCCCTTCTCACCCCACCCACTTTTGCACGCCACTGTATAGTATGGCTTGTATAACCATTATCAAAATGCCTTTTTTTCATTTTCTTGTTCTTTTTCAAGCATGGTCGGAACTTACAAAGACACATTATTGCATACAAGAGATTATCTTATCTGCATATTATAGTATCGTGTAGTATAGATAGTAACAGACAATCACAAGAGAGAGAGAGATAGCAAAAAAAAAAATCGTCTCACTTTTGGCATCTGTGACATGATGCGGCTCCCATCGATGAGTTGCCATGAATAGAAAACTCAAGATATAAGGCAACATTCAGAAACCCAGACAAAAAATAACAAGTCCTCCAAAATCATGTAATCAACAAAAATATTATCTATATCCACACTTATGCTCACATCAATCCACAAAACTTAAAAAGAAAAAAATAAATAGCAAAATACAGCTGGCGCAGGCAACACTGCCGGCTTGGGAGATGGGCGGCGCAGGTAAGCAAACGGTTTCGTCTGTCAGGCACACCTTTCATCAGTTTCTTGCATTATTCAATGTCGATGGGCTGCAGCAGCTTGAGCGGGGAGGATGATTCTCTTGCCGCTTGTGCCATAGTTCATGAAGAGGCGCAAATGACCTCGGAAGACACAAGATAAGGGAGATTTGACTGGATCTCTGAGTGTGTGAGAACGCATACATCTGCAAAAGATTATATATCTATATTCTATCCACATCCGTCCTTCTTATCGTGTAGATTCTACCTCCATTACCATTGTTCTCCGGCAAGTGAGAGAAAACATTTGGAGAATATAAACCATAACCAAAATGATCCTATCAAGCATTGCAAGCACAATGCGAACCACATTCCTCACCAGAACTGCGGGACTATTGAACCACCAACTCGAGTCCGCTTGTGCCGGTTCCTCCTTCCCCTCCTCTTCTCCTTCCTCACAACAACCTCAAAAAAAGGCGTGTATCAGCGGCCTTGAACCAGCACTTACCTCCCGCTTCTTCGCCCGCTGTTACCATGCAAGAAGAAAGCCCTTCAGTGGTCCAGGGGTTCCCGTAGTGAGTAGACTGACCACGTCGCGTCCCGGCTGCCTGCGCCCTATCGCGACTTCGAGCACCAACATGAACTTCCTGGCTAAAGAAAAGGAGAAGTTTGAGGCTCCTGAGGATCTGGGGCTGAAGGTTAGTTATGGATGAATGGAATGCGGGAAGTGGATGTTAAAAGGTTTGCGTAGAAAAGGCGGGATATTGATGGATTTAGTCTGAGTGAGTTTGGCGCGTGTGACATTTGGAATGCGTTGAATTTTTTATGTAGCATGCAGCGTATTTAGCACTGTTTTTCATTTTTATTTATAAATAGCTTGTTGTCATTACGTTTTAATGTTATATGTTGACTTTGGTACACGTTTCATTCGTTCAAAATTAATTATACGATTTGGAAGAGGTTAGGTAGACCTATGTCGTGAAGATATTTTTGATACCCTAAATTTCTTATGTTATTGAGGAGGGAAACTGGCCATTGTAATATCCTTATATCCATTTACTTCCATCTGTTGAGAATACGATATTGTTAGGGTTGTCTTTCTATATTTTTCTACGCGCTAACCGTGGGCACAAGGGTGTACAGATAGTTCAAAGAATGAGCATCTCACATTTCTGGTATTTATTTGTATATTACATTTGATTGACAAGGTATTACCCCATCTCCAAGTAACTTTATCAATTTGATTCTTATTTTTGGGAGACCAAGTATAGAGGATGTCCATATTTTGAAATCCTTGTTCATGAAAATAGATAATTCCTCTCTGTTGAAATCATACTTTCTGCTATCTTTGGAGTATGCAATCAATCAATGTAGAAAGAGGATGAATGATTGTTTAGCCAGATCAGCTGTGCATGTGTGTATTTGTGAGTATTTGTGCATGTATGTGTTTGTGTGGGTTTGTGTTTGCACTTTTATGTGCAATTTTTTGTGATTTTGTGGGTCTGCTTTGTATGTCTCTGTCCATCTGTTTGTCTGTCTCTTTTTGTTGATATGTTATTTTGGACAAAATTAATGTTTAGAGAATTGGAAGTAAAGTGAGAATGTTTTAGATTTGTTTATTTAACTTTCAAAAAGATGTGATGAAAAATGATTTTTTTTCTGCAAAATATGTGCCTGAAACAACTATGCAAATCTACAGTATATATTTGCCATACATCTTTTATTGCTCTATATCTTTTATGGTATAATTACATTGTTACATAAGGAATAAATGACTCCATTTTTGCTGCCTTGCTTTTGCAAGTGCATGCTTTGACAGCAGAATGTTTAATCATGCAGATGTTTTAATTTCTTTGTGTTGTCATTTCTTGTACAAAAAAAAAAATGTTATTATTACTGCTATTATTAGATAAATTTTTTTATATTATTATTAGATAATGATGATATGGCTATTTTTAATATATCAGTATTTAATCATTAGTGTTATTGTTAGTATTATTTTTACCATCTTCATAGTTATTATGTGTTCATGTATTATTATTATTACTATTTTTTTGTTAAATGATATTGGAATAATTTTATCAATTAACATACTGTTCCCTAGGTTTATAGAATGATATATATCAATCATGTTGCCTTTTTCCCCCTCTGTAACTTCATCTAACCACCTTACCCTCCCCAACAGTATAGCAAAGATGAGATCCTCCGATTCATGATCGACTGCATGATGGCTGTTGGTACCCCTAAGCCCAATGCAACTTCCCTCGCCAACGTGCTCTTGGCTGCTGATGAACGAGGGCACTACAGCCATGGCATGAACAGACTGGGTAATTTAATTTAATTTATATTTGTAGTGGGTAATCTAAGAGGTAATATGGAAGGTAAGAAGATAGCTTTTTTTTTTTAGGTAAAGGGGGTTTCAGTGTCTGAAAATTCCTGTTTCGCTTGATATTTTTAGATGATTTTTTAAGGCAGTAGCACTAACAGATTATAAAGTGAATATGAAACGACAGAAGTTATAACAAAGATATATCTATTTTAATATCTATATAGATCTTGTTTGTGCTTGTTTGCTCTATTAGTCATCCTTCTTTCTTTGGGTGAGAGTGAGCTTGCATCTAGCAACACCAGCATGCATAATTCATTTTGTTCAAGTTGACAGTTTGCAAGGGTTGCCAAATATTATATTGCACACTATTTATGGACAGTAATGTTCATAAAAAGAATCTACATAGATAAATAGATAGATTGATAATAAGAAAGAAAGAAAGAAATGAAGAGAGAAAAAATATGCATATATACATATATTAGAGGGAAGAAATATTCTCAGCAATTTTCCCATGGCGACAAAGAATTAATATTAGAGCTGATTATGTTTTTACACGCTTCTGTATGTCTTAAAATCCTAAAGTATATTTGATTTTTGATAATTATTAAATTCAACTAGCATTGCTTGAATATTTTATATCCAGACAAGTTGCAGAAAATAGATTTAAAGATATTTTTTTATTGTGTTTGTTATTGTTCTTTTATACTTTTATGATCGTATTTTTTATTATGATCAGTAATACTATGATCATTTTAGCTATTTTTATTGCTATCAATATTAGGGTTAGGATTAGTATTGTTATTGTTGCTGCTTTTTGTATAATTATTACATTTGACACTTATTGGACATCTATTTTTGATGTATAACCATCCTCATTGTTGTTTTTATTAGGTATTTTTGTTTTTAGTTATATTCTTATTTTGACTTAGAGTTGTTATAAATAACTTCCATTATCATTTTTTGTCGCTATTATGATGTATTATCTAAGAATGTATCCATAGTTTTTTATTTTCATATGCATATTCTGTCATTTTATTATCATATTTCATAAAATGTTATATTGTAATTTTTTATTGTATTATTAGTATTGTTGTTGATACTTACAATCATGAGTATCCATTTTTTATAACGGAAAAAATGGTATATGGAAATTCAACAGCAACTAGAATCTAACCACTCAAGCAAACGCAGTAGATATTCTAGGCTTAGAAATTTATGTCGTAATATGAGAAGGAACCATGAACGTCCCCGAAGTTTGTTATATGTTTTTATTAGAAACTACGATTCCAGATTGCTAGCTAGAAACTGATGATCCTGAATTTGATGTCCCTTCAAAGTTTTTCTAATTTTTCTGTGTGTGATTGATATGATCATATTTTCTCTGGTTTTGAAATTCTATCCAAGATTGCCAGTGAATACAACTATACAACCTTGTCGAACTTGCCATTGCAGAAATGTACGTCAATGATGTGAAACAGAAGATCTGTGAGGGAGGAGCTACTCCAACCATTGAGAAAGAGAGTGTGTCAACAGCTCTAGTCAATGGAAATAATGGGCTCGGTCCAGTGGTTGGAGATTTTTGCATGGAACTGGCTGTCAAGAAGGCAAAGGAGACTGGCATTGGTTGGGTATGTGCTCGAGGTAAGAAGGAGAGTAAAAAATAAATAGAAAAATTTGAAGAGGTAACCAAGACAGAAGACCAATATTTGGAGTGGTTTTATAATTGGAAAGGGGTATATGTTGAATGTATATATATTCTTTTTCATTGTTATAATGTGATTTGTTTTATTTAGTTGGGGGATGGATAATCATTATATTTAAATCTTGATACTGATTTGGTGTTTCTATTATATATCTTGATGGTTGCATATAGACTATGGTGCATATAATGAAGGCTGATAAGTTATAGGAATTACTTTGTTACTAGGTATACTTACAAATAAAGACGTCTTTTATTTTGTAAGTTTTGACCATGTAGCTTTTTAAGCAACAAAAATAACTGTATTATTGTATATACACATTATACCAGTGTTTCATTAAATGACTGGTGTTTTGTAGATATAGGTAATACATTTAATTTTCAGTTCTGGCCTTGGTCTGTGGATCTTTCTAAAGAATAGTTATCATTTTGTGTTAAAAAATGTTAGATTCTTTAACTTTAGAACCTTTTTTGTAATTATGTTAATATATTATTGTATGCATGGATCCATACTATTTTTAATTTCAGGTAGTAACCATTATGGTATTGCTGGTTGGTACTCCATGACTGCTACAAAGCAAGGTCTTCTGGTAAGCACTATATTAATTTTCTGATTTCTTGCTAGTTTATTAGATGTGAAGAAGTTGCTGTTTATTTGAACCTGAAGGGTAGTTGCAGGTTCATAATGAAAACAGATTTGAAGGGAATTCCTTTTTGGGAAAAATATACAGAATTACAATAGTCTGTTAAAAGTAGAAAGGAAGAAAGAATTTTGGTGAAAGTCATACCACATAGTGTAAGAATAATATTGGTTAAAGGATATTATTGGAAGTTTTATATTGTGTAGAAAAAATTATGCGAGTTGACTTTCCTCCAATCATTTCAGGGTATGAGCTTCACAAACACATCACCATTGGTTGCTCCAACACGTGCAAAGACAGTAAGTATAGTCTGCTCGTTTTAAAATAATAGATTATAGTGATATTATCTTGAATATTTAGAAGATTTTCTTTTTGTAATTGATATTATTTTTCTTCTTCTTCACCAAAGATAAATGAATAAGGGTGAGATATCTATATGATTTTTTCATTGTAGCTTCATACTGACACATTATTTATGCAGAGAAAAGCAAGTTTTCTTTGATATTTTGAAGCTAAATAACAAAGTATTGTAAATAAATAAAGCTCTTATGTTTTAGAATTATTAAGTAATAGTAATTTAAGAGCAGCTGTAGAGAATAAATCTTGAAATGCTACTTTAACTTTTGATAGTGTTATGCTGAATTATTTTGATGGAAATAGTAAAATGGGAGTTCTGTTTGTGTATTATGATTTATTTTCTTACCAAAACCACATTTTACTTTTCTTTCAATTCATCACAGTAAGCATTTTTGTGACAATATACAAGATTTTAGGTTGGTAGTATTATAAAGGAAAATTCTTACTTCTTACATTAGACAGAATTAAGGCATTTGAAATCACTTTTATGCCCCAAACCTTATGGTTTCATCCATATCTCTTCAATTATTTTTTGAACAGGCATTGTTATACTACATACTACACAGTAGTATGTATACCAATTCATTCAATGCAACTTATCAAGGTCTCATAGATAACAAGTAGATCTTTCTTCCTTTTGATATGCAGTATAATTTTTATTCAATTTTAGTTGCTGTACCACACAGATGTGCCTTCCCCAGTATGAGATCAACATACATGAAAGCTGTTAATTTGCAAATGCATCTTTTTCGGCTCTTCAGTAATGATTAGTAGGCCACAGTATTTTGTAGATCCCCCTGTGCCCCTCTTAAGCTTTTGATTTGTAATGGAGAGAGTGTACTCCTATATAAGGCCACCCTTCCCCCCTTACCAAGAGGTGACTTTACAGTGATTGACCCTTTTCTTGTCCTGTGTTTGTTGTCTGATTAGGTAAGATGAAAATCATTATAAGAAAAATTACAAATACTGTACAATATTTTATGGTTGTTTGAGTCCAGACATAGGACTCTTTCAGGTGGAAAGACAGAAAGAGAAACCACGTACAGTACCTCATACATATTGGTGTTTCATTATAAGTATTATCTATTTCTGAATTGTCTTTCCTTTTGTTATAATGGGTTTAATTTTTTACCTTCCACATTTTGCTATTTTTGTGTATTTTTCAATGAAAGTCTTGTTATGCATTGTTCCATTTCTGTCTTTTGTTTTTGAATGACAATTTTTTTCTTACTTTGAATAGAATATTTAAATCATTATACAATAATCTCAATATCAGCATACCTCTAACATGATTTTTCTCTTTCCCCTTTTTTTTTCATATCTCAAGGGAGCTCTGGGAACGAACCCCATCTCTCTTTCGGCTCCAGCAAAAGGAGGAGACAGCTTCGTGTTGGACATGGCGACCTGTGTTGTGGCTGTGGGCAAGGCAAGTAGTTTAAAGTAAAGAGGAGATAAAGTTACATGAAAATAGAATTCTGATTGATATTGTTAGATAATGATGATTTCAGCATGAATGAAATAGTAAAAGAATGACTTTGACGTTTGGTTGCTAGCTTTTTAATATTGAATAGAAGCAGTTAGTGATGCCATTGGTCATGTTTTTATATCTATTTAGGAAGGATAATTACATAATCATTCATATTACTTCTGTTATATATGTATATGTATATATATATATTATATATATATATATATATATATATATATATATATATATATATATATAATTTTTTTTTTTTTTTTTTTTTTATTGACACAAAAAAGGCTTATGAAACAAAAGTACATTATAAAAAAAATCCTTATCTATTGTCACAACCATAACCCTGTCACTTTTGAAATTCCCTTCCCAAAAGATTGAAGTTGAGCGACGTAAGGAGAACCCCATACCAGAGGGCTGGGCACTGGACAAGGAAGGCCAACCCACAACCGATCCAAAGGAGGCAATGTTTGGAGCTCTCATGCCCCTTGGTGGTCCTGAGACGCACTCTGGCTACAAGGGCTACGGCTTAGGCATGCTGGTTGAGATCTTCTGTGGCATTATGTCAGGTAAGAGCTCCCACTGGGGCTTTGGTCTGTGAGTCTTCTTTGTTTTCTTATTTTCCTTCTTATTTGTCTTTTTCTCTTCCTCCTACTCGTACTTTATGCTCTTCTCTTTTTTCCTTTTTTTTTTCTTTTAATTTTTTTACTGTGATTATGCTTTTATAAACATTGCTCAATTATTCTGTTTCCATATTACCAGTCAGTCTGTCTTATATTTTTTTTACATGGGTATACTTACCAATATATGTCTTTTATGTTTCCTTTATTATTTATATTTCCTCTATTTTTATATCTCCTTATTCTACTTTTTTCCATTTTCCCCTTTCCTTGTCAGGTGGTCACTACGGGCCCAACGTTCGCCGGTGGATGCAGACTGACCGGCCAGCTGACTTAGGGCAGTGCTTTGTGGCCATTGATCCTTCCTTCTTTGCCCCCGGCTTTGAGGACCGGATGAGTGACCTTATGGACCACTGCCGCAACATGGAGCCTGTAAGTGATTTGTTAATTTAGTTACTGATGTTTTAATAAGGTTAATTTCTTTATCATCTTTATGCACTTATAAGATTTAGTATACTGACTTTTACTCCTTTCAATCCTTTCTTTTAATAAAGTAATAATGTTGCAGAAAGGTGATCTTTGTGATAGTTCATGAAACAAATGTTCAATTCATGGTAATCTTGTAATGTAAATGCCTTATTTCTGAAATTGCTCCTCCCTTCCCTCATGTCAGAAAGGAAAAAAGGATTAGGACCAGAGTGCAAGAGCAAGTTGACAGAGGAAAATGAGTGACTGAAAGAGAGTGAGAGAGAGAGAATGATTGAGAGTGAGAGAGATTGAGTGAGATTGATAAATAAAAAAAAAAGTTAATTCAAAATATACATGACAACCACTTTACAGGCCGATCCCAGTAAACCAGTTCTTGTGGCTGGAGACCCAGAACGAACACATGTGGAGAAAGTTAAGAAAGAAGGAGGAATCACTTATCATGTCAACCAGATCAAAGATTCTGTAAGTATGAGTGACAATTATGATAAGTTTTATATCTACAGCTGTATTTTTGCTATGGAATAATTGGTGTACACAGTAAGATGAAATAATTTCAGGAAACCTTGCATTTGAAGTTGTTTATCATTGCTCCCAGTGTGAAATTTATCATAAGAGTTTGCCTAAGGTCTTGCAATTGAAAATGTTACATTTGTTGCCCTGTTTATTAACCAGAATGGAGGCCAGACTATTTAAGTTTATGATTCTTATTGCCCTAGCTGCAAAACACACTTTCTCTGCATTCCACTTCTGGGTCTTGACTCCCTCTTTTGCTAATATTAGTATCTTTGTTCTTGTTGCCTTTTTAGCTTTTCCAGTACCACTGCTTTATATAAAGCCTTTTCAGGTACTTCATAGGAACTCTAGGATATATAAAGAATAAATACTTTCTTTTGATTTGTTTCTAAGATCTGCAATTTGTCCAGTCATTCAGACTTGGCATATTTGCTAAAGAACTTTCTCTTTTCTTGACCTATAAACCACATTATGTATTCTCTCATATTCTCACATGTTATGACACATGGGATGGTACTTATTTATTCTGTGGTTATGTTTTTCTTTTATCCAGTTATAATTTTCAAGGCAATATTTTCAGCTCCATATTATTTTTTGGCAGAAAATGTTGATATTTTTTAAACTAGCATGCATTTTTTCATATAATAACTACAGCTTTTCTCTCTCTTTTCAGTGGAAGCTTGGAAAAGCTTTAGGAGTGACACCAATGAAGGCCTTGTAATAAGTAAATTAATGAATTAATAAATAAAAACATATTAGAATGCATTTATGGAACAGAATTCTATTCTTTTGATATACTTTCACAGTAGTTCTCCTTATGTTTTATTTTATTTTTCTCTTTGAGGGTGCAAGAGTAAAAAGATTGCTTTGTTTGCTTTGTTTTGAATTTCTATTTTCATTTGGTTTTGGTACTGATATCTTAGGCTCCTTTATGTGCAAGATGGTGTGAATATTTTTTGTGCTGATTTTGTAAAAGGAAATTAGTTATTGCCATTATGTGGTACAAGTAATGAATATTGCTGATGAAGCATTTCTGAAGATCAGATAGTGACCTAAGTCGAACCTGGTACAAATAACGTAATAGTCAGTTTAGTATGTATATAATCTTATCAGTGATGGTTTTATGTTTTGGTAGAGGATATTTAGTTTGGTTGCAAACTAAATGGTTGCAAAGGTTGCATATGTTTTTGTCTGTATTTGTCAGGAAAATGTTTTATATATGGAGATATTTTTCAGTGTGCTGTTGTTTTATATTGCTCCCTATTATTTTGAGACATTATTTTGAGAAAGGGAGAGGGTAATACAGGGAGACAGGCAGTTAGACTGACCAGCTTAATTAATGAGGGGCTTTTAAGAATTTTTTTTTTATGTGCTTCATTTTATTGGTACTACTAAACTATATTGTTTTTCAAGCCCAGTTTTGTTGTGATTTGTCAGATTTCTGAGCACAAATATTGATTGTTTAAAGATTTGTACAAATATCTGCATAATTTTCCTTATGTTGTGAAGAAGTATATAAAGTGCAGAGTTACCAAAAGATTCTGAAATATGATGCATAGTAAATAAACAACCATGTATATCCTTGACATGTAGTGTCTATATACAAGCTTGCTCTTTAATTAGAAACAAATAAAATGCTTCAGAACTTCTTTGCAACATGGTGGTTAGAGGGGAACAGATATTTTAGGTTTAGAACATTGTAGATAAAACAATGAAGGGAAGAACAGAAAAACACAAATTGTTTTATCTACATTTTTTCTGAGATGAATCCATTACATTAGACCCTCTTACATCAGTTTTCTTTTCTTTTCTTTTTTTTAGAATAGTTAATGATCTGATAGTCATGAAATACCTTTCAGAATATATTTACTCACAAGTAGGACCTGAGTGAGACTTTATCAATCTGCTACCTAATTAATGTATCATATTGTATCTATTTTTGAATAGCTATCAGAGAGTAGGCAGTTATTTACTTTTATTATATATGATTTTCTTACGCTGTTGTACATGAAAATTATAGTTCAAGCAAAGGTGTGGTATGTTAGGAGATATGAGAAAGAAAGATTGTACAAGAATTCTAAAGAAAAAAAAAGTGTCAGAATTGCCGCTACATTCCCAGCAGATGCAGGCAGTTATTTCCTTTGCAAGAGGTGTTTATAACAGAAGTATATCTTACATATATGAGATATGCACTCTATGCCAAAAATGTGTTATATTGAATATAATGCTTGCATGTCCTTAGATATCAATCTTTGAGGAAGTATTGTTTTTTTCTTTAAGATTAGCACCATAGAGAATTAATTCCCAAATATGAAAAACATACAAGAAATTCAAATCCTACAAAATACAAATGGAATGAAAGAAAGGTTGAAACAGAAAAAAAATAAGCGATGAGGGGAGACCCGTCTTTCTAAAATATTTATTGGTACATGTAAAATAATACGAGAGAAATTTAATTAATTCATTACAAAAAAGCAATTTAGTTTGAAATAGAAAGATTATTAAAAATATCTACATTAATATAATCACATATGTACAAAACTATGCATTCTAGGTGTATGATCTTGTGCAATACTACTTTCAAATCAATTCATTGTTGTTAAAGTACTTCATGAATCCATACTAAAGCATAAATATAAAGCATGTTACTTAGCGTACTGTTATATTATATATTTTAACTGGGAAATAAGGAAGACTTATAAAGGGTTTAGTTAGCTTTAGGAATTTAATATTGCTGCTGGTGAAAGATGATCAGAAGCACAATATAATTTTGCGACTTTCTTTTGTAGTTTAGTCATGTTCTTAAATTGAGAATGCAGGTGCTTAATGTTAATACAGCAAAATAAGAACAAACCTTTTGTGCATTCAACAAGAAAAGTATTGTGGTGAATACCTATTTGAATGAAGGTTTTTACCAATTCTTTGACTTAATTTATACTGACTTATGTTTTAAAGGAATAATTATTTCTGGTTTGAGGATGCTAACGGATGATCTTTACATTTTACATGCTTAACAATGCCTCCAGTAAGTAGATATGGACACCCTGAATCAGTACTTTTTTAAAATGAATGTACATACTTAATGCTACCTAACTTCAGAAACTTCATTGTTGTGCATATTTGTCTAGGTGACTGTACCTTGCCTAGTAAAGGATATAAGTTCCATATTGCTGCAAATTCTATTGTAAGAGATCATTGTTATTTGTTTATAAGTTTATAAAAATAGTTGTTCATGGTTTGAGGTGATGTTTGAACTGATGGATTGCTGTTGTGTGCATGTATATCATAAATGTGAAATAAATTACAGGTTCTTTTATTTTTTTTACTTTTATGTTTCCCATAAGAAAAGAGAGGTTCAGTCTTTGAATATTCTCAGTTTTGTAGATTGGACTTCAAATTCAGTTACGGAAATATTTTTGATTGATTCAGATCAAAATGATTCATGCCTTCCTGGTACATATATAATTTTTTGAGATAAGATAAGTTTTACAACACCACCTGTTAAGTACAGCTAGAAAAAAGGGATATCGCTGTTAAGCAAGAGATTTACGCTCATATTCAGACACACTTGGAACACCTGAGACAAACCGCTTGACTGCCATCTCACACCCAGTCACCGTTGGCTTAAAGCACGAGACAGCTTGAGGTGATTGGCTGATGGGCACGAGATGCCAATCCAGTTCTCCAAGGTGCCTCAAGTGTCTCTGAACACGGGCATTAATTTTATAATTGGACGTAGAAAAGACTTGCACTAATTAGTCCTATAAAGCACAAAATCAACCATTGCTAATATTTAAAGGATATGCATACAACCTAACCAACATATGAAAGTTTTTAATATCTTGTTATATGTATCAAATTCTCCTTAATTTTCATATCCAGTCTTGATATATGTACTATTGCATACATCCACATTATTTAGTGTGCTTTTGGAGAGTTTTCCTCTTAGATGGGTTATCAGAGGCTATGTAAATCTTTGAGCTTGTTGCCTGTGTGAGACAGATAAATGAAGAATGAGTGAGTGTGTGTGAGAGAGAGAGGAGAGAAGGACAGAGTGTGTGTGTGTGTGTGTGTGTGTGTGTGTGTGTGTGTGTGTGTGTGTGTGTGTGTGTGTGTGTGTGTGTGTGTGTGTGTGTGTGTGTGTGTGTGTGTGTGTGTGTGTGTGTGTGTGTGTGTGTGTGTGTGTGTGTGTGTGTGTGTGTGGTGTGTGTGGGTGTGTGGGTGTGGGTGTGGGTGGGTGCGTGCGTGCATGTGTGTGTATGCATGTGTTTTTTGAAACCTGGCTATCAAGCATAATTTCGCTTGATTCCTATCAAATCTCCCACTAACTCCCTCATTTCTCTTATGACGATGGGGTGTGTGCCTACTATAAGGTCAATACACCTTTTACTCGCCTCAAGAATCTTCAATCTTTGAATTTGATGTGACATGGCTCAAAATCTGCCTACATATATCTTTTTTTCTTTTCTTTTGTTTTGTTTTAATTGGTCTCAAGTTCTAACTGCCCGTACTGCCTTCAACTACCATCCCTCGCCATAAGACTGTGCTTTCTCCTCATCCAAGTGCTGAAGTTAAATGGAATGGCTTGGTCCCTCATAGAATGGACCCAGGCGGTGAGCATTCATTCTCATTTTCCATTTTGGACTCAGAAGAAATCATACGGCACCCAACACGTGTCTCAGACTGTCACGACCAGCAACCAAACCCTGTCCAATCATTTTTCACCGTCATTCAGTTATTGACACATTATCTTTGCTCCACTTTGAACCATTCAACTTGAGTGAATTGTGACTTTACTTGGTCTGATTACTGCTCTTTTGAGAACCCTAACCCAAAAGTACTCCGTCCTACAAAACTATAAAGGCTTTCTCTCCAACTAACTATCAACTACTGTTGTTCAAGTAAGGGTCCGTGTTTCTCGCAGTAAAACTCTAAGGAGCATGATTATCATTCATAGCAAAGCTCTCGTTTCTTTTATCACATATTCTGACTTCAATCGCTCATGTTCTACTGCTGTTCAAGTAAGGGACCATTCTTATCAATCATAACAGAACTTGAGGGACCATGTATATCAGTCATAGCAAATTTTATGACGAACTCTGACTTCATTCTAAATGTGATGATCATATATCTGGTAATAATTTCTTCTGGTCCTTAGCCAAAATAGTTTATCATCTTTCTTTAATTCTGGTTTCTGTCCTCTCTTTAAATTCGATCGTTGTATAGCTGTTTCTCATGTTTCTCCTCTTAAGGACCATGATTATCAATCATAGCAAGGCTCTCGTTCTTCTATCACGTAATCCGACTTCAATCGCTCATGTTCTACTGCAGTTCAAATAAGGGACCATGCTTATCAGTCATATCAGAACTTGCGGGACCTTGCATATCAGTCATAGCAAAACTCTTTTATCACGAGCTCTGACTTCACTCCAGATGTGATGACCATATATCTAGTGATAATTCCATCTGGAATCTCGTTTTTTGTTAGCTGATCATTAGTAAGGATTTGGCAAAGCAAGATCCTACGTCTTCATTGTCTAGGGACTTTGGGGAAACTTGACATTGCTTTTGATATTTCAAAAGCCTTTAAAAGAATCTGACACAAGGTTCTTTTGACTAAATTTCCTTCTTTGAGCTCCTACCTGTACTTCATCTTAAGCTTTCTTTCAACCCTCTCGATCTGTTAGGGTCGACTGGGTTACCTTCGAACCCTTCCCCATCTCCTGGGGCGTTCCTCAGGAAGCTGTTCTCGTTCTCGCTTTGTTTCTCCTCTTGATGATCTCAGCTCACCCATTAAACCGTACCCACTCTTGTGCAGATGACGCAACTGTGCATGCCTCTTCCTCTCTCATATCTTCATTTTCCTCTCAAAATCGCCGTCAGTCTCGTACTTTTCTTTGTGCATCTCTGATCTCGGATCTTGAAAGAATATTTTTAGTGTGGTGAACAGATGGTGAATTGATTTAATTTGAGTGCAAGGAAAACCCATTATTTCAGCTAAGATTATTACGTATTAAGGATCCCTTTGATTCCATTAGCATTTCGGGAATTTGCTCCAACAACTTTTATTTGGTAACCTCGCATATCCACTATGGTCGAGTCTACCTCTAATTTGAGAATTTTGTTCGGTATTATTCTTCATTCGTCCATGGAGTAATACTTCTACAACCGCGCAAGGCTGGACAGTATTTCCTGAAAATTAACAACTCACAGATTGTAAGTTATGATATCTCCCATTTCCCTCTGCTTCCAGGTTTTGGATTTCTCTCCATAGTTAAGTCTCCCCCTCAGTACAACCTCCACCTATTCAAAAGACGTATATTTTACCTTCTAAATTGTTTGATGCCACAGACAGGATTACGACATTTACTGTCCGTTCTGCGACAGAGAAATTAAAATACACATGTATTTGCGTGTTTATATTATATATAATATATATATATATTATATATATATATATGTGTGTGTGTCATACATAAATGTGCACACACACACACACACACCTCTCTCTCTCTCTCTCTCTCTCTCTCTCTCTCTCTCTCTCTCTCTCTCTCTCTCTTTCTCTTTCTCTTTCTATATATAATATATATATATATATATATATATATATATATATATATATATCAGCCATGAACTTGAGAACGACCTGGCTTCGTGACATGTTTGGTACCCGCATCGCTGTCATCGTGGCTTTGGGTAATTTGAAAGCCAGCCGATTATATCTCTAGTTTTTTATTTCATTTATGCATCAACATTTATTTATATTATACGTCAACACTTTTTATTCTATACATAAACACTTCTCTTATTTATGCAACACTTTTTATTTTATTTATACGTCAACACTTTTTATTATATTTATATATATTTTTTTTTTTTTTTTTTTGCACCTGGAATTTACATTTGCTAATATTCCGCCCACACCATTAAAACAAAATTAATTCAATAATTAGTTTCTACCTGAGAGCACTGAGGATTCTTTAACGTTGAAGTCGCTTAATATTTCATTTAGGAATCATAAATATCCCAAAGAATTCTCAATAAAACTCGTTTCTTATTTTATTTATACATCAACTTTCTATTTTACTTATACATCAACTTTTTATCTTATCTATACCTTCTCCTTCTCTTCTCACATCTACTCTCTACTTTCACTGAATGAGAAAGATGGTCAGAGGAAGGATATAAACAAATATAGACCAAGAGAATTCTTTGTTTCGCAATATACTCGTACCATCTAAAGGTGAAATAAATACTATGCTGAGCTGAAAGTCCGCCAGACAGTTCGTACAGCCAAAACTATCGGTTACAACGAGTTATGCCTTATATACTAATAATAGTAGTAGTAGCAGAAGCAGTAGTTGAAGTAGTGGTGGTTTTGGGGGTAATATTAGTGGCATGCCAAACAGCACCGTTTAAACATGCAAAATCAACAAAATAGAAAAATGTTTACAATTCATTCACGTTGACTTTACTTTAACACCAAACCTGCAAGTCGTAAAACAAAGCAAAAATGCCGACAAAATCAAGAAATTGAGGATTTGACATGAATTTTAATGGTTCATATAATCTCATGTATGAAATTAAGATAATTATGAATACGTAATATCGTCAATGATTTAATGGCCAAAGCTGCAGTTAGATGATTTGTCTTATAGCGATAATATGTGTTAAGTTTGGCTCAGATATTTAAGCTAGGATAGGCCTACGTCAATAGTACAGCTCTAAGGCTACCTAAGGCTAAGGCATATTCTGAAGGGGTACCTTCCCTGAAAGCTGAGAGTATGTCATAGCCTGAAGCCCAATCTATTAATTTAAAAAAAGCGATATAATAACTACATGGTAGCTTCAAGTATTAACAATGCTATAAGCCTAACATAAGTGAATGAAGACTTACATGAATATAGATCTATATGTCTTCTTGCTGTTGCATGGAATCACTATAAGTGGCTTTGTATGTGCTTAATCAGATGAAGCTTAGTGGAAAGGAGAGCATATGCTCGGCATTCCTATCTCCAGGTCAGGAGACATCAATAAAAAACAGTTTTTGTTGAATATAAATAATTGCAATATTTGGTCTAGGTGTAACTGTGTTTTCAGTAAAAATTGTTAAAAGTTGTAATCTGTTTTGTTTTCTATTTTTAGGTTTACGTCTCTATCCTCTATAGTTTAAATGGCTGCTAATGTGTTTATACTCCAGTGAATTATGGTTGTCATAGAGGTATATAGTTTAAGGTACACTGGCCTAGCTTGTGATATCCTGACATACTATACGTTAATGTTTCTTGAGAATGCTTACCGATTGTACAAATGTCG